GCTGCGTAAATCAGCTTAAAATTGCCACTAATAGGATGCCAGTCCCCGCCATTGAGGATTCCAGTCAGTATCTCTTCGCCTTTAATTTACCTTCTCGATCTTCACTTTTTCACTTTTTCACTTTTTCACTTTTTCTCACCTGTATTTGTCTCGTGTGGCTGTTCACACCTCCCCGAGCGCACTTTGCCAGGGGATTAGCTCAAATTAGGCGACCTAGGGTGTCGAATTTGGCTCTAATGCCGTTGCTGATTGATGATTTGTTGGCAAATCTATTGGCTAGACTAGGCTAGGCAGTGTCTGCTGTAATTAGATCTCTGTTTCCTTCGAGTAGCAACCCATTGCCTTGCTCCAAACGCATGCCATTCGCTTCATTAAAAGTCTATAAAATCCTTTCCTTGCCCAGAGTTTCCAAAGCAAACTCTATCCTCATACACTCTCTCTCATATACTCTTCATAAAATCCAAGATTTTTACCATATTTTCTATACTAAATGCTTAGATTTTTGATAGGTTTGTTAAGTTTAAAGTTCAATATTATCCCCTCTTAAGCTCCCCCCGCAAGAAAGGGCATTCAGAAATAGACACTCAAGCTGCGATGTGCCCCTGTCAAGTCCAATAAAAGTCTTAAAGAATTCAACCTCCGTCTGGGAATGGAACTCCAGACTCGAAAACGGAATCAATGAAGTTGGAGGATCATCTGGACTAGCCTGCGACATTGTTACAAAATTTTATGCGTTTTTAAATTAAACGTTATATGCGCTAATCCCGAACTAAACTGCGATTTACGGTTCGCCGTCCGCGAAAGCGGAGCACAAAAAATTGATTAAAATTTAATGAGCCGCAACTGTGTAGGCCATAAATATGCCGGCCAAATGGCTTCATTTGCATGGGGATGTGTTGCGAGGATCTCGGATCTGGGATCTGGGATCAGCGATCTGTGATCTGCGATCTTTGTTCTTCGATCTCTGGCTTGTGGCATCTACAAAGCTCGTAGAACTCCGAAACACTTTTCATTTCGAAAATGGCGCACGCCACTCTACTACACCACTCTAGCCATCTCTGTCAGTTGCCTTCTCTATCTCTATCGCTCAGTTCTTGTTTTTGACCCCAAAAGAGTACACAGAAGAGCAGATGTTTCCATGTTGACCGCATCTAATGGTGCGTGCTACTGCCTTTTGCTTAGCCTCTCTTTCCCTCCTCCTCTTCCCAACTTCCAGCGTCGAATCTTGATCGTCATTATATCCCACCACCAGGGTCCAATGATCATCCAGCTCGAGACCGCAGAAAGACGAGACTGAGAAATCGAATCCACATGGACAAAACACACTCCTCCTCTCGCCGAGTAATGATAGTTATCAGCCGTCCGTCTATCGAACTGGCTCGTCTGGCTCTCAAAGCATCTTAGCTTGGCTCTGTTGGCCCGCGACCACTCATAAAGCAAACCCCTAACAAAGCCAAAGCCAAAAGGGAAGCTCGAACTGGGAATGCCCTGAAAGCGAACTTGATGGAACTTTCCCCTTACAATCACTTAGATACTGTTAAGTATGGGAAGTAATATTCCAACGTAAAGTTGCAAATCATAGAATCTAATAAAGGTCAATGGGAGTGGCAATGCCCTAAAAACAGCTGCAAAACCGTAAGACGTAAGACAGGCATTCCTGGAACAAGCCTCATGGCCAAGTCAAACTACCCCACGTCGAACCCCAAAATACGGGCCAAAAAGAGAAGCCAAATCTGAAATTTCCTCTCGAACCGATCCCCTCTTTGTTTGATTTGGCATGACGAGCTATCCAAAAACCTGGGGCTCGATCTGAACTTTCGGGCCGTGCAAAGTTCAATGCGCCGTTCGCGCGGTATCCCTACTTAAGTACCTTTATCCACGCCGCTCTTTTGTATCTCCTGGCAGTGACTTTGACTTTGGCTCCCCTATTTTGTGGCGTCCACAACAAACTGCAAATGCATCTCGGGGCAAAATAAGCAGCAACAACAACAGCAACAGCAACAGCAACCCCTAGCAAATGAGCGTGTGTTTCCATTTTATTTGAGCGGCGCGCTGCGCTCGTTTATTTTTCAGCTGCACCACGACGGATGGCAGAAAGAAAGGTAGGCAGGCAGCGAGGCAGCGAGGCAGGGAAGTCGGTTGTCTAAGCCCGTGGTGTGCCCCGACCACTTCCCCATTCTCCAGCGTTTTCCCCTTCGCGATCCCAATTCGTTCGCTTAAATACACCTGCCACGCGTCGCCATAGCCCAGAAATTCAACAGCGTTTCCAGGGGAATGGAGGGAGCAAGTCCTGCGCCTGCTCCTGCCTCTGCTCCTGCTCTTTTTCCTGATCCTGCTCCTGCATTTAATTAAAATATTAACTACGAAAATGACCGACCCAACAACTACGCTTCGCTGACTGCACTGTGCAAAACCAGGCAACGTTTCAACGTAGAATTTCCATGAAAGTGGCAACAAATTTTCACATTTCCATATTGATTTTATCAAGAAGAAGATTAAAAGAGATTCTGAAGAATCAGAAAGCTTGCTCAGAACCTAAACCTGACTACATCTTTCTTTTTTCGCGTGTAGAACGGACACGGCACGTGGAGAGTCTATAAATATCCATCACTCTGTTCCTTTCTCTTTCCCTCCACGATCTCCTGCGCTCTTCCTGGCCAGGTCCTGGCAACGGGAACTCGTTCCACTTAACATTCAGCATTCATTTTTGCATTTCAAGTTTCGTTGGAAAAACGCACGCGTCGCCCCTCCGATCAGGATATATAGAGAGTGTCTAGTACATAATATCCTGTATCGGACCCTCTCGCTTGCTCGCGCAATTAACGCACGCCCCATCTCGCTTCCACCTCCCGAGGGTCCTTTCCGTTTCCCGTTTTCGCGGCCCGGAACTATGCCTCATATCGAAGTAATTACGCATTTAAATCTTCCAAGCGTTGCAAGTCCGGCCAAAAAGGACACAAAACAAGCAGAGCGGCCCAAAAAAGTTGTTGTTTACCGGTTGTCGGGGCAACGTCGCTGTGGCAGTGCCAACTTACAGGTTACCGGCCATCACTTGCAACGGTTTTCAGGTTGTTTCTTACAGGAATTACCACAGGATTACCTCTGTCGAGATATGCTTTTTCGTGAGTGAATGCCAGATCAAGATGGCATGACTTCATCTACATACTCCTCACCCCTTGATCACCCAGCCAGGATATAGAATCTATCTTAAGATCTCCCAAATCCTAGATATTCTCTAGGGCTACTGTTGATCGTTATCCTGACTGGATTGTGTAGACTAGACAGGTAGCATCCGATACGATCGAAGCTAAAGATCAACTGGCACGAGCGAGATTTACATGTGTTGGCTTTGCATTTCGCCGCGACTTGACTTTTGACCCATCAGAGGTGCTGAAACAAAGGGAAGAAGAAAGGCTCTGCCCTCTTCAGATCTTGAGATCTTGAGATCTTTAGATCCCAAAGCCAAGCTATCAATCATTGCGCAAATGCATTCCACTTCAGTCCGATAGCCGCAGACACAATAGATCATTCTGGCCACAAAGACTGGCAGGACTTCAACCCTATTTTGGGCATTTCACCAGCATTTCTCTGGGTTTTTTCTCCTGACATTTATCAAAATCCGCCACAATGGATCCCGGGGAAAGCGGGAAATTTGAATAGAAAGTCGGTTTGCCAAAAAATTCTGCGACACTCGGGAACAATGAACGTGTTAATGATGCCAAAATAATGGAAACCAACTACCGATCCCGGCATTACAAAGCAAAAAACGAAGAGTGGAAATCCTAAACAAAGTGCAGCATGCAAAAAAGGTTAGAGAAATTGTCAAAGGATTCAGGAATATATACTATATAGATAGAGAAGGTACACAGAGAAGCGCCGTTTGCTGGTCATGGTTGAAAAGGTTTTTGCTTTGGTTTTCAGTTTCAGTCTGGGCATTGGTTTCGGTTTTTGATTTTGAATTTGGGATCGGAGAACGGGGATAGCAGAGATTTGGCAAATGGAAATGGAGAAGTGCCACCGCCACTGCCACTGCCACCGATGATATTGGCAAAAGGGAAATGCTGGCTGCGGCAAACAAAGGGAACGAGTTGAGGACAATAAAAATATAACTTACACCTGGCCGCTGGCGGTTCTTTCCCCTTTCCACTCGCTCATCGATTGATGATCGTGACAAAGGGAAGCGGCATTGGTGAAGTTGCAGTTCTCCTCAGTCAATGACAGACGATGACCAATGCACCGATACACGCGGGTCACTCGGAAGTGAGAGCTTCCTGAAAGGGAAGCGACTATGGGATATAGAGATACCATCTGAAGCTGCTGAACCAAAAATCTATCTCGAAACGCAGTCCTCACTGTAACACGCCATCCGAAACTTTTGTCACATCTCAAACAACGGCGTGCGTTGGGTGAAAAACCTGTGATCCTTTTGATCATTTAATTAGAGGAATATGTGAAATTGTTCGAACACCTTCGCGGCCCTGACTCTGCATGGCTAATAAGGAGGATGCCAGGATCTCCTCGAGATCTCTTCGATCCGTCCGGCGCTAATGAATAGGGGCGTGCGTGAGCTGCACATGAAATTGGCGATCGCGACTTTTGCTAAGTTAATTAACACGGAAATCAAATTGCTGGCGTGCCGCAGCGAAAAGAACACTCAAAAATGCAGGCGATCGTTGTTTTTCTCTCGTTTTTTTTTTGAGAGTTTCAATTTGACTCGAAATTTGAGTGGTTTTGCCGAGTGGGAACAGTTTTCCAAGCCAAGGGGCAAGTTCGTACTACCTGAGAGCCGCAAGAGAGACTACCTGTGGCTCACTTTACTCACTTTACTTCGCCTACCTGGACAGGTAGCTCTTTCGTTCGCTCGCTCGCGCGCGCCGCGTTTCTCTCCGATTCTCTCAACGGCGGCTTCGCTGCCTGGCTCTTGAGCCACTCTCTAGCTTGAAGGGTACATAACGTGAGGGTTTAGGACGAAGGGACTCATTCTTGTGCAAGGTGTCAAACGATCAAGTTCAAGCCTTCTCCTCTCCTCACTTATTTTTTTCTGTTAATCGAACTCGAAAGCCAAATCAAACGAAACAACAACAGAAACTGTGTGCGTTTATGACAAAAGTTTGCAATCCAACAACGAGAACTATAACCATGTCATCGAGTGTGCTGACCACGAACCACGATCTCTTTCCCACGACCATCAATACGGCCACGAAGATCTTTCGTTATCAGCACATAATGCCGGCTCCCAGCCCATCGAATCCTGGCAACCAGAACCAGCCAAGTCAACTGAATCAGTCGGGTGGTGCCATGCCCATCAAGACCCGCAAGTATACGCCGAGGGGAATGGCCCTGGCCAGATCCTCCGATTCGGTAGCTTCTCTGTCGCCTGGCTCCTCGCCGGCTCCCTACAATGTGGACCAGTCCCAGTCGGTCCAGAGGCGCAACGCTCGAGAGCGGAATCGTGTCAAGCAGGTGAACAACAGCTTCGCCAGACTGCGCCAGCATATACCGCAATCCATCATCTCTGACCTGACCAAGGGCGGTGGCCGAGGACCCCACAAGAAGATCTCCAAAGTGGACACTCTGCGCATCGCCGTGGAGTACATCCGGAGGCTGCAGGATCTGGTGGATGACCTGAACGGAGGAGCACCCAGCTGCGGTAGTGCCACAAGCAACACAGTCGCCCAGCTGCAACTTTGCCTGGACGAGTCCAGCAGCCACAGTTCCAGCAGCAGCACCTGCAGTTCCTCGGAGCACAACACCTACTACCAGACTACGACCACCGCCGCCTCCAATCCTCTCCAGCAGCAGCAGCAATTGCAGAGGCAACAGTTCAACCACCAGCCCCTGACAGCCATCTCTCTGAATAGCAACTTGGTGGCCGCCACATCCCTGCCAGGTGCCAATGGAGGCGTTGGCTCTGTCGCGAACAACCAACAAACCTGCCACTCGCCCACTTCCTCCTTCAACTCCAGCATGTCCTTCGACTCCGGCACCTACGAGGCAGCTCCCCAGCAACTGTCCAACCACATGGACCACCTGGATCACCTCGACAACGAGGGACACACACACTCCCAGCTCCAGCTGAAATTCGAGCCCTACGAACACTTCCAACTGGACGAGGAGGACTGCACGCCCGACGACGAGGAGATTTTGGACTACATCTCTCTATGGCAAGAGCAGTGAAACCGCTGCCAAGATCCCCAAAACCACATCCTGTTCTCTTCTAGTCAATGTTGAGTTGAACCAAGTGCCTCAAATTGTAAATAACTCGAAAAACGAAACACGAAACACCACCACACACATTTTTTTTCCTACTTTAAGTTCTTTTTTTTAATACTACTTAAGGACCAAGAGACCAGTATCAAATATATATTTATAAAATAATTATAGCCTTAATTAGTTTTTGGATGGCGAAATAAAACGAAAATTATAAGATGTAAAAATCAAGTTTCTCTGAAGAACAGACTGAGGGAGCCCGCTTATGGCCAGGTTGGAAGTTGGCCAGCATATGCGGGTAGCACTTGCACTTTAATTGCATTCTGCATGGACCCGAATGGGGGTATTGCCAGGAGGCTATGCTTAAAAGGCAGCACAGGATGTGCGGGTCTGGCCAAATGATCTTTTAAGGTCCTCCATAAGCTCATAAAGCCTTAATACTAATCCAAAATAGTGTTAAGCCCAGTCAGCCCTGCCCCCTGCTGCAGGTAACAAGATCGATTAGCTATATATATATATCAGATATAGTACAGCCCAAATGACACGTGCTATATAGGTTGGGAAGTTAAGAGAGAGTAGCGCTGGCCAGCCAGCCAGTCTTATCGCAATTGACAGAGCGCAAACATTTCTGCTTCGTGCAAATTCAAATGAATTCCAAATTCAGTATCCAGAAGCGGAAGTGGGCGTGGCCAGGCCTTGAAACGCCTCATTCTAATACACAAATAGCCGGCAATGTGGGCAAGGCCAAGTCTGGGTGTTCCCCGGAAAGCAAAACAGCAAAGTTATCTATCAGTTAAGCTAACTATATCAGCCCGATCTCTGCTATAGCTTCCAGTTTAACACCTTCGAGTCCATCCTCTTGGTGTTCCTTCGGCTTAACCTTTGTCTCGAGTGTTTTGCCTACAAATTGATGGCTTTATAATAGAGTTGCCTGCAGCACTTTCGGGTACTTTCCATTTCTTAACAAAACGAAGGACAAAAAGTAAAAGCCTTTCCCCAAAAACAAACGAAAACCCTTCGCTCCCACGCACCAAGATGTCAGATCGCTGGAATAAACCTCTTCTGGCCAGACAATAAATCACTTTGCATTAGAAAAACAAACGCCTGGGAGAATGCGGCTCTGGACTATATTTTGACACATTAAAGGGCATCGTGGACAAAGGATCGCATTGTCCTTGGGATCGCTAGATGCTCCACGAGGGCTATGGGCTAGGGGAAAAAGGGATCTCAGTTCAGGGGATCCTTTCTTTCAATGTCAACGCTGACACTTGACAACTCAATGCAATTGTTTGGGTTCTGGGTTCTGCGTTCTGGGATAGCATCTTTGGGAAACTGTAGGCAAGGCTTAGGCCGCTCAGCGCCGGAAGAACTTTCACCTTTCCTCGAGAACTTCAGGGAAGAAAACAAAACAAAAACCATATCTGTATGCATTCTTTTTCAGCTGCTTTTGAATGAGAAAAGGCTGTTTAATAGATTTCTCGACGCGCCTGGCCGGCCGGCAACATTGTGGCACATAAAAAACCAGCCGCCTGCATCAATCAGGCACCAGATATTTGACCAAATTATAGGCTCGCCCAGGTTTCGAGGACTCAGGACCCCAGATTGATGTCTGGGATGGAGTCGCAGGCGCAGTCGCAGTCGCAGGCGCGCAGTCGCAGCTTAGCTCATAATTCAGCTCTTTAAAAAGTTGTTACTTGAAACATTTATTTTTACACCTTAGGCGCGATGCAAACGCCCCGATAGCAGCCCCAGCAGAAAGGCGGAGGAGAACAACCAACAAGGAAACCCAAGCTAAATAATACAACCAAGGATCTTGGGAAAGACGTAGACGAAGGCTTAAACACCCTTTCAGAGACTAACAATGCTTGAAAGAGGTAAACTGAAGTTGCAATATCAAAATCTGACCAATATTAGAGCATCGGCAAACCTCCTCTGATGCCATCGCAATACCCCAAAGGTTAGGGCAAGGCAATCAAAGCAGCAGAACGTTGCAGGCGTTCGGCGTTACCGATTTATTTGAATTTCAATAAGGGCCAAACTTTTTGGGGTTCATTATCCTGTTATGTCGGCTTTTCGGGCCTTTCATCTCGCGGCGCACGCAACCCATTTGAACTGGGGCGTTATTAATTAGCGTTATGAATTATTGATGCAGGACCCCCGGGTGAAAATCGCCCACACTCGCACTTCCCTTTTTGGACCAAAAAGAAGCAACATCGCTGGATGCCCGACTGAGTTTTAAGCTATTTGACTAAGCCTGATGCAGTTTCCCGCCTGATATCTTTATTTTTCGGGGAGAGGATGCATAAATCGCGGCCAGACGCGGCCACGTTCATCATCTGGGGAGCCGTAAGGGGAGAAATATGTTCCAATTAGCGAAGCCAAATGTGACAGGCCGGCCAGCCAGAAGAAATCAAGGCAGGAGCCAGTACCGAAGTCTGGAGTCTCAACTCCACCAGGCAAAAGTTATTTGAGTTGTCATATTAGGCCGTGATAAATGTAGTTACATACCAAATGTGATAACTCTGTCCCTGGATTCTGGATTCTGAACTCTGATTTCTGATTTCTGTTTTCTGTTTCGGATTCCCCAAGATCTCTTCTGCAGGCTTAGGTAGGCGCCTATCTCAGTGCCCCTTCTCGCTCTGCCCATGATGATGATCCGCGAATCCCCGCTCCTCTACTGACAGATCATTCAAAACGGTTTTATGACGCCCGGGAAATTCCTAGAGCCCGTTTTAGACTTCGACTTTATGGCCCGCGCGATCCGTGACCCTGACTTCCCTCCTTCTTTTCACTGACCTGTCAGGCCGAAGGGCCTGCTATTCCACCTGCCGGGTGGAAAGGGGGAGTACCTGCTTCCAAAAAAGAGGCCTATAAGCGCGTCGAGGCGCCTGGACAATTGGTAAATCGCAGCCCTATTCGCTGTACCCTGTAACCTTTAACCCTTTCTCTGCCATTGCACCTTGTCTGGCAGATTTTCGCCTAAACTTAGCAGGCTAGAAATACGAAAGGGAAAAGTCAGGATCAGCATAATAATTTTTATGGCCCATCAACGGGTTATTCCTTCCAGATCAGATCAGATATATGCCAAGATTCCTTAATAGAGTTATCATCTGATTTCCTGTAACCTATCCCTGATACATCCCTCTCAAGTGGCCCTAATCCAGTAATAGGTTTAACCACCTTCTGAGCAGTTCCTCCCCCCAAAAACACCTCCCTCGCCCGCATAACATTTGTTTATTCAGTTTTGCACTTTTCCAGCGACCACCAGCGCTGCTGCTGACTGGCCTCCCAATTAAACTCTCGACTCGACCCTCCGATTATCCCAGAAATAGTCTAGAACTAATCCCATTGGAGCGTGCAACGAAAACACACAACAACCTGCCACTGGGCGTGTCCTACTTCGCACTGGCGAAGTAGTTCCCTAAGCCTAATTGCCAGCCACTTGAAGGGCTGCTTCGATTGCTTCGATTCCTTCGATTCCACCCACACAGCCAGTCCAGGGTCAAAATTCAAACTCAAACCCATGACAACGATGACAACCCAATCTCTGGGTTCCCTTTCTCTCTCTCTCAAGCAGATCTCGCATTGCCATTCCGCAACACGTAGTGCGAACCGTCTGAGATGTTTTCTGATGGATTATATGGATTTTGCCCATAAACACCAAACAATAACTTTGCTGCACAGGAAGAAACCACTGCTAGGAAGATATAGAGCATCTCATATAGTTAATATTCCCTTTTCTCGCTGTGTAAGGAAGCGGCAAATAGTTTTGAAGTCCGCTGGCCTTTCGGTCCATCAATCTCTGCGGTGGCGTCGCTCGAGATTCTCGACTTTTGTCAAACACATCGCTCGATTCTGCACTGCCGCTACTTTTATTTGCATAAAATGCGAAAAAACGAAATGCGAAAAGCGAAAAAGCCGGCGAGGGCTCATCTGCAGTGGAGTTTTTTAGTTGCCCAAAGGGGCCAAAATGGGCGGACAGAGCTGAACTGATCGATCGATGGTTTTGTGGCCTTTTCGCTGTTGTTGCTGGGCCGGGTCAGCTGGCCATAAATCATGATCTGTAATTACCCGTTGGCGCAGGATGCTGCGGCATCTCCACATAAGCCACGCGTACAAAGAAGTCCCGAAACCGAAACAGAAACCGAAACCAAAACGCGAGAACCAAAACTAAAATCAAAGCCAAAGCCAAAACCAAAACCAAACCGAAAGAGTTCAAGAGTTTATCGCGGGGAGTTGAAAAGAAAGGATTGCGCGATGACCAAACAGAAAGCCGGCCACTTGGCTTGCATATTTGTTGTGATAGATAGCCATGCAAAGGCTGCGATCATCGTCATCGCCAGCGAGATGAGATGATCCTTTCACTCCTCAAATATTTAGATACATAGATACGCATGTTGGCCGAGAAGAGATGGCAGCGGATAAACCAAACAAACGTGCGCCAGTTCCCCGAAGGACCAATCTCCTACTCAAACACATCTCTCCCCTTTCCCTTGGCCAGGGCCTGGTGACCGCAACTTATGGAAACCTCAATATTGAATCATTTCCACAAATTAAATGCAGACAGGCGGCGAGGCGCTTGTGCTGGGAAAGTCCCAGGACTCTGGCCAAGATCGGTGGCTCTTCTTCAAGCGTTTTGCCCTGCCCAGGAGTTTGTTTGCCTTGCCTTCTCGTCTAGATTCTTATTTATTTTATGATTAAAACTTTAACTCAAATCCAACCCAATTAAGAAGATCTTTTCAGTCCAACTTCTGGTAGTTCCATCAAAACCTTCAGATTATAGAGTATCTCCTCTTCGTTCTGCAAAAACACAACCTCGCTTCCTTTCCTTTTTTTCAGTTGATGTCGCTGACTTGCCCACTTCCCGTTCCAAGGGCCCCCAAAAGGCAAAACCAGAGACAGAGGAAAAAAGCCCACAAAACTGGCAGGTTTTGTCAATTATCAGGTGCAGCCTCAGTCTTCCAGTCTTCACAGACTCTTCGCAGAGTCTTCTTCTCAGACTCAGACCCGCGTGTCTGTCCCCCATCACCCCCCTTTCAGCACTCAACTCTTCGGATCCAGATCCAGTCTTCACTTTTTCGCTGCCTGAAAGCGTGCGAAATTTTCATTCATAAATGCCCATTGAAGTTGGAGTTGTTTTTGCGAAATGGGGGGCGAGTGCAGAGGGCAGGCGGCGAAGGAGAA